ATTTAAATTAACCTATTTATCTATTTATTATTATGAATTTTTTAATAAAAAAATCTAATTAGACAAAAATTATTAATATAAAAAATAAAATAATTTTTATAAAACTCTACCACAAATTAGCTTTTATTATGAGTTTCTTAATAAAATTAAATCTAATTAGATAAAGATATATTTAAAGAAAATAAAATAATTTCTATAAAACTCTATTACAAATTACCTATTTTATTTTTAGTAAAACTCTATCAACAAAGATATATTTAAAGAGTTCCTATAAAATTCTAACACAAATTACCTATTTATCTATTTATTAAGATTTTTTAAATAAATGGAAACCTAATTAGACAAGAATTATTAAAATAAAAAATATTTATTAATTGATATAAAAAGAGTTTTTAAAAGAGTTTATATTAAACTCTAACACAAATTACCTATTTATTTATGTATTATAAGTTTTTTAATAAAAGAAAATCTAACAAGACAAGAATTATTAATATAAAAAATATTTTTTAATTAATATAAAAAAAACAATTTTTCTAAAACTCTACCAAAAATTACCTTTTATTATGAGTTTTTTTTTTCATAAAAGCAAATATAATTAGACAGGAATTATTAAAATATAAAAAGATTTATTAAATCATATAAAAAGAGTTTGAAAAATATTTTCTATAACACTCTAACACGTATTACATATTACAATTTTTTTAATAAAAGAAAATCTAATTTTCAGAGTAAAAAACAGAAACTCTACCAAAGTGTTTCAGTATTTATTTATTGATATAAAAAAATATTTATTAATTGATATAAAAAAAGTTTTTATCTATGCTATTATTAAATTTGTAAAGAGTTTCAGTATTTAAGTATCTATTTATATTAAAATATATTTATTAAATGATATGAAAAGTGTTTTTCTAAAAATAAAAATAAAAAACTTTATCAAACTCCAAAATCTATCTAATAAAATTTAAATTAACCTATTTATCTTTTTATTATTATGAATTTTTTAATAGAATTATTAATATAAAAAATATTTATTAATTGATATATAAAATAAAATAATTTTTCTAAAATATCACAAATTAATTTTTATTATGAGTTTCTTAATAAAATAAAATATTAAATGTGCAAAAAGTTTCAGTATATCAGTATTTATTTATTTATATAAAAAATATTTATTAACTGATATGAAAAGAGTTTTTATAAAAAAAAATTAAATAAATAAGCAAAAGAAAAAAAAAACTCTATAAAACTCTAAAATCTACCTAATAAAATTAAAATAAACCTATTTATCTATTACTATTATGAATTTTTTAATAAAATTAAATCTAAAGTTTCAGTATTTATTTATTTATTTTAAAAATATTTATTAAATGTGCAAAGAGTTTTAGTATTTTAGTATTTATTTATTTATATAAAAAAATATATTTGTTAATTGATATGAAAAGAGTTTTTATATGTATATAATAATAAATAAAAAAACTCTATAAAACTCTAAAATTTACCTAATAAAATTTAAATTAACCTATTTATTATTATGAATTTTTTCATAAAAGAAAATCTAATTTTTACAGTAAAATACAGAAGCTTTGCCAAGGTTTTTTAGTATTTATTTATTTATATAAAAAAATATTTATTAATTGATATAAAAAAAGTTTTTATCTATACTATTATTAAATGTGCAAAGAGTTTCAGTAATTAAGCATCTATTTATATACAAACATATTTATTAATTGATATGCAAAGAGTTTTTTAGGAAAAAAAAAAAGACTCTATCAAACTTTAAAATCTATCTAATAAAATTTAAATTAACCTATTTATCTATTTATTGTTATGATTTTTTAATAAAAGAAAATCTAATTAGACAAAAATTATTAATATAAAAAATATTTATTAATTGATATTTTATAAAATAATTTTTCTAAAACTGTACCACAAATTAACTTTTATTATGAGTTTCTTAAGAAAATTAAATCTAATTAAACAAGGATATATTTAATGAAAATAAAATAATTTATATAAAACTCTATCACAAATTACATATTTTATTTTCAATAAAACTCTATTACAGTATACAAAGATATAATATTTAAAGAGTTTCTATAAAATTCTAACACAAATTACCTATTTATATATATTTATTAAGAGTTTTTTAATAAAAGAAAATCTAATTAGACAACTATTATTAATATAAAAAATAATTTATTAATTGATCTAAAATGTGGTTTTAAAAGAGTTTCTATAAAACTCTAACACAAATTACCTATTTATCTATTTATTATGAGTTTTTTAATAAAAGAAAATTTAATTAGACAACTATTATTAATATAAAAAATATTCATTAAGAATTATTAATATAAAAAATATTTACTAATTGATATAAAAATTGTTTTTTAAAATAGTTTCTATTAAACTCTAAAACAAATTACCCATTTATTTATTTATTATAAGTTTTTTAATAAAATAAAATCTATTTAGACTAGAATTATTAATGTAAAAAATATTTTTTAATTGATATAAAAAATAGAATAGTTTTTCTAAAAAAAATTTGAGAATTCTAGAAATTAAATCTAATTAGAGAAGAAAATATTTAAAGAAAATAAAATAATTTCTATAAAACTCTATCACAAATTACATATTTTATTTTCAATAAAACTTTATCACACATTAGACAAAAATATATTGAAAGAGTTTCTATAAAACTCTAACACAAATTACCTATTTATCTATTTATTATGAATTTTTTAATAAAAAAAATCTAATTAGACAAGTATTATTAAGATAAAAAATTATTTATTAATTGATATAAAAAGAGGTTTGAAAAGAGTTTCTATAAAACTCTAACACAAATTTTCTATTTATTATGAATTTTTTAATAAAAGGAAATTTAATTAGACAAGAATTATTAATATAAAAAATATTTATTAATTGATATAAAAATAGTTTTTTAAAAAGTTTCTATTAAACTGTAACACAAATTACCTATTTATTTATTTATTATAAATAGATTTCCAGAAAGTAAAATAATTTCTATAAAACTATATCACAAATTACCTATTTTATTTTCTTTAAAACTCTATCACATATAACCTTTTTTTATCTATTTATTATGAGTTTTTTAATGAAGGAAATCAAATTAGACAATGATATATTTAAAGAAAATAAAATATATTTTTAAAAGAGTTTATATAAAACTCTAATACAAATTACTTATTTATGTATTTATTATGAGTTTTTTAATAAAATAAAATATAATAATTAGACAAGAATTATTAATATAAAAAATATTTAATAATTGATATAAAAAATAAAATAATTTTTCTAAAACTCTACCTCAAATTACCTTTTAGTATGAGTTTTTTAATAAAAGCAAATCTAATTAGACAATGATATATATATTTAAAGAAAATAAATAATTTATATAAAATTTTGCCACAAATTACCTATTTTATTTGCAATGAAACTCTATCACATTAGACAACGATATATTTAAAGAGTTTTTATAACTCTATCACATATAACCTGTATTCATCTATTTATTATGAAATTTCTAATAAAAGGAAATCTAATTAAACAAGAATATATTTAAAGAAAATAAAACAATTTCTATAACTCTATCACATTAGACAAGGATATATTTAAAGAAAATTTATAAAAATATAATAATACATATAAATAAAATATAAATATTAAAGAATTTGAACATTTCAGTATTTATTTTTTAATATAAAAAATATTTATTAATTAATATAAAAGGGAACTCTATCACATATAAGTATATAACCCTTGTATTTATCTATTTATTATGAGTTTTTTTATTAAAAGAAAATCTAATTTTACAAAGATATATTTAAATAAAATAAAATAATTTCTATAAAAACTCTAACACAAATTACCTATTTTATTTTCTATAAAACCCTATCACATTAGACAAGGATATATTTAGAGAAAATAAAATATAACTGAGGATCTTCCAAAGACCACAAATTTCATATAATAAATCTTTATATCAATTTCAATCTAATGTATAATTAGTGTAATTGAATTTCTATTTTAAAATTTAATTAAAAACTAATATAATTGAATTTCTATTGTAAATTAAAAATTATACTAAATTTTAAATTACCTAATAAAATTCAAATTACAAATTACCTAATAAAATTCAAATTAGCAAAAAGAATTTGTTACTTTGCAAAACTCAAATATTTCACTATTAAAATAAAAAATTATTAATTAATAAAAAATAAAATATAAATATTTCAGTATTAATATAAAAACATAAAAGAATTTATTAATTTACTAAACTTAAACTCTACCACTAATTTCAAAATATTTCAGTATTTATTTATTAATATAAAATAAATATTTATTAATTAATATAAAAAGAGTTACAAAAAATTGCAATGTGTTTGTAACGTTTATTGTTACAAGCTTCAAATTAACAATTAAAAAAAATATATATGAAAACAAAAATTCTATAAGTTATAAAACATTCACCACGTACATCGCAAGTATCTTTTCCTAATTTCCTAATATATATAAAACTCAGTTCATGAGCCTATAATTCATACTCAACTAGACTTTTTTCTTAATGGTCTAAGACCCATTTATTTAGTCCAACCCTTTGTCCAAATTCATCACTTAATCAAGATAAAATAAAATTTATTCTCATTCTTCTACACCAAAATTGAGTTAATTAATAAAACAAACAAATTTCCTAGTTTTGGTATATATTCCCATTCAATGTTCTTCTATTAAGGGCCTGTTTGTTAGGTGTTTTACTTTGGTGTTTTTGTTGCAGGGCTCCATTTCAAGCCCAAAACATATTTGGTAGCACTTATTTTGTTTTAAACAGTACAAAAACATTGTTTTAAACAATACTCAATTTGGGCCCAAAAGTGAAACACCGAAATGGTGTTTTTTGTTGTTTCTACATTGTAGCCCAATAAAAAGCATTGTAGCGGTTGAAGTAAGTTTGGTCTAACACTGTAGCGGAGGAAGTAACTTTAAAACACGTTTGTAACATTTGGTCCGATCTTTTCTCTCTCCTCTGAAACCCTAGAGAAGGCGATTTGGGAGGCGACGAAAAGGAATCGGTGAGTACTCTCTCTTCTTTTTCTCTCCTGTTTAAAGACCTTTCCTTTGTTGTTTCCTTTGATGTTGCTTTACTTCTAAATCTGCAAGCACGAAGTCGTTAAAGTTCAGATTTGATTCTGGTTTGGTTTGTTCACGAGTGACTTAGCAAGTGGTGTGGAACACCTATTCCTTTAAGATCCTAACTGTTTTAACATTAGAAATGAGTGGGGGTATAATCAGTATGCATAATATTGTTGGATCATGCATTCAGTGTGCAAAGAAAACAGATCCTAGTAGCTCGTAATGAGTGGGGGTATCATTAGTTGGAGGCTTGACTTTAATGCTTACTCCATATATTTGTGAATTGGGGTCCCTTATGTTCATCGATTTGCAATTTTCTCAATGGAATTGGATTGATCCTTGGATTCAATACAGATCTGTCTACCCAATTGTGACCATATAAACCACAACATTCTCTTCCTCTTCACAACCGTTTACTCCCCCACTCACGGTTTCACAGAGCCGCACGATTGCCCTCTACAACACTCGATTATTTGCTCTCTTCTCGTAAGAGTATAACCCTCTTCTCTCTCTATATATATATCTGTATATGTATATATGCATGTGTATATGCAAAATCTTCGTTTGATTTATTAGTTTGCGCCAGAGTGTATCGGAACTTTTTGTTCCTCGCTACAATCATGTTATCATGATTTTTGATCCGAATTTTTTTTTTTTAATAATTTTTAGACATCTTTATTTCGTTTAAATTAGTTTCTTGATTTCTATATTGATTTAGGTATGGCTTCTTTGAAGATCATGAAATGCTAGGACGGATTTAATTGCATTTGAAGCATATTTTTTTTGTAACCTATTTAAATAGGTAGCTTTTGGTTGAATTGTTGGCTATTTTGATTCGGGTGTGTGTATCCATATATAAATATAAATGGTTTGCATGCAATCTATGTTTAGGCATTGTGAAGTATAATATTATTAGGGGTTTATTTATTTTGTTTAAAATTATGTTTGCAATATTACTCTGACGAAATGCAAGGGTGTGATTTAAGGAAAGTTTGTTCTTTTATTGCAGGGGATAATTGACTCTGCATTGAATCCAGTAACATACAAGATTGGTACTGATCATTATCTTTCAATGCAGTTTCATTTTAATTTTCTACTGTAATTAACTAGATATCTATGCTTTCATGCTTTAATTGTCCTGTGACTATATTTTTATTTGCCTCTCATAATTCTTTTTATTTATTTGTTTTTTGTTTCAGTGAAATTATGTTTCCAGACATAATATCTTTTGATTTAGGTAATCTTTGTCATCCTTGTATATCTGATATTGTTTCAGCTAATTGATTAATTGATGAGCTTCTGATTGTATGTTTATCTTGTTTGGAACCATTATTGAGTTTGACCTACTCTTCTATATCTTTTGTGTGTGTCCATGATAGTTTGCCACTATTGTTTCTGTTGTACTCGTGTGGAAATCAAACAACCTCTTAAGTTTCTTTTGGATTTCTTGTCTGGTTGCTGAGAATTTCACATCTCCTTGGTATTCCTCTTTTGTGGTGTCCTGGATCTGCACTTCTGTACACAAAATATATGTTTCCATTTTGACTTGCCTATCAATTGATCGATCGATCGTTCCATCTGATATTATCAGAGAAGAGCAAGCAACGTGTTTTGTGAGCAATGGCGTCCTCTTCTCTCCTCAGATCTACAACCCCTGTTCTCCGAGCCTCAGGAATCTCTTCACTTCCGCCGTCTGACGGAACAAGTAAACGTTGTTTTCCCTATGAGTGTTTGATAACAAAAAAATTCAATCCTACTTCTATTTTTTGTTTATTTTTATATAATTTGTGTTTTCTGATCATGTCAAGCTGTATATATATATATTGTTGATTTTGGTTTTTGATTATTTGTTGTTGTAAGCGATGGATCTTTGACTTTCTAAGTACCTTTATGATTTTTTTTTGGAATTAATTTGATTGTTGATATATAGTAGCTTTCTTTGGTTTCATTTGATTTCGGATAAAATTATAGTTGTAATGAATTTGATCCCCATTTTTTAATTTGATTGGCGATGTGTAGTTGCTTTATTTGATTTCATTTGATTGCGGAGAAAATTATAGTTGAAGTTTGTAATAAATTTGATCTCCACTTTCCTAAAATTACCTGCTATTGATTTTAGAGCTTTTCTCCAGATCTCTATTTTTAGCATTTATCAACAATATCTATAGCAAATGCTATAGACTATGCACTCATTCTGTGTGAAAAACAAGAAAAAATCCTCTGGCATTAATCCGGATTGAAAAACAAGAAAAAATCCTCTGGCATTAATCTGTGTGTGCAATGTTTGTGGAAAATGAATTTAAACCACTTCCACATGTATGAGTGAGTGAGTGAATATTGTAGAGATGTTACTGAACTTACGGGCATATGAACTTGAAGCAACACTTGCTATCATATTAACTGAATTTCAATCACAAGGAACCAAATTATTCAAGAGCTACTTAGCATAATACGAATAATATAAAAATTTACAAAGTCACTTAGCACGCCTTTGTGTTTCAACTCAACTCAACTCAACCATCTCAACAAAGAAATGAACTTTGACATGAGAGAAGAATATACTGAGGCACCTCAACACTGCACCAAGCAAAGTTCGAATTCATTTCTTTTTTTTTTCCTGAACAATAAAAGAATTCAGTTGTTAAACAGAAAGTGATTACAACCATAGAAATACAAAATAATAATTTTTAAAAAAAAGCCCAGGGAAGATTACAATAACCAAAGGAGCAGATGAAGTCAGGTTAAAGGCCTCAACAGATTTGTAGATTATAATGTTCTATGAAAAAAAAAAAAAAAAACAACCAACTACTACTGCATGAAAAAGGTGATATTAATATCTAGATCATAAGAGCACAGTAAAAAGATGGAACTCTCTCTCTCTATATATATATATATATATATATGTTTTTGTGTTCAAATTTTAATATATTTATTAAAAATATATAGACTATTTATATAAAAATAAATTTATAAATATATTTAAAATTTATAAAAATAAATTAAAAACGATGATAACCAAACATGTTTTTTGTTTCTGTTTTTTTTTTTTTTTTACAACAGTTTGAGTTACCAAATATGTTTGTTTTTAAAATTCTTGAAACACATGGCTTACTAAACATATTTTTTATATTTTTGTTTTCGACATTTTCATAATAAAATATCGTTCTCAAACGTGCTTCTGATTTTTGCCAAAACACTCTCATAGTAAAAATACTGTTTTTATTTTAGCAAAAAACAAGACGCTTAAAGTAAAATATATGTCAAACGGGTCCTAAGTTAACAAGCAATACGCCACCACAAATATATATATAATATGCAATTATACTGAGTATTTAGTGTTTCTTGGGTATCAGTGCAGTGGTGGGTGCCTAATTTGTCCTTTTCATCAGAACTCATTACTGCTAGTGATTCAAAATATGGCGCAACGTCCATATTATAAATGTAGGTTATCAGACAATATCTTTAAAGATTGTGTTTTGGTGAATCGTCCTCTTCAAATATTTCATCATCACCAAAATTTAAAGTTACGAATCTTAGCTCTCTCTCTGTATCTCTCTCTATATGTGTCTCAATCTCTCTCTCTCTTACTTTGTCTCCATTCAAATATACGATGACTCTTCTCTTTCTCTCTCACAGAGGTCTTCTTCTCTCAATCTCTCTCTTACTTTGTCTCCATTCAAATATATGATGACTCTTCTCTTTCTCTCTCACAGAAGTCTTCTTCATTTTGCCAATTGCCACTCTGGTGGTCTCAGTTCCCCAACACAGAAATGGTGTCTTCTTCGTATCTCCAAGATTCTCCTCTCTATTTACCGAGTTCAAAATGAGAACTCCTTTTCATGCCTTCCCTGGTGAAGAAAGGAGCAGTAGCAGCCGGCATAACTTTGCCGGGGTTCTCCATGTGAAAGGAGCCCCGCTTCCGCCGAGAAGGAAGCTATTGTCTGGTTCCTCGGAGGATCTATTCTGGAGTCGAGCGGGAGGAAACCAGCTCATTGATCATGACTTCAACTTTGGGCGTCCCGGAACATCCACGGAGGAATACCAAGCCGGGCGGCGAGCTTTATTTAGCTCGATCAGGTAAAAAGTTGCCGAAACACAAAAAACAGAAAGCATATACTAAAGCTCAACAAAAACAGAGAGAAGGTGGAAGATGCAGCAAAGCTAACAATAACAATAGAAAACAACACTAAGACGGATCCAGAAGAAAAAGGAAGGAAGAACACCATGACGCACTGTGTTTCATAATTACCTTACCTTACCTTACAGAGAGAGATTGATTTTATATTAAAAGAAAATAATTTAGGTGGGTTTGGAACGTGAGATTCCGATCCCTTCTTCTTATGGAGCGCATCACATCACCCAAATTAAGGCAATATTTATCTATTTCTTTAACTATAATATATTCTTTATATTAATTACGGATTGTTCTTAGAATATTAATATAACAATCAATGTTCTTTCCCTATCATAGAAACATCGGTCAAAATGAATTTCATTCTCCCTCTTTAATTTCAGAAGCAATTATTGTCCAAATCTTGTAAGATTTCAAAAGCACAACTATTGTGTAATCTCCATCTTGATATTTATGATTTATTATTTGAACGGATTTAATATTTTAAAATTTATCATGCAATATACATTGAATGATGTATGTATTGTTGTCTAGGTCTTCATCGCTATCATGAGCATCATTTGTGTCGTCATATAATATATATATATATATATATATATTTTTTTTCCCTAGTTTACACTAATAAGCTCTCATAGTTGTTGTCTAAAACTTTGGCACAGTTAACAAGTAAAATTTAAATAAGTAATTCTTTGTATAAATTGGCTCCCAAACTATATTAATCAGTTAGTATGAAACTTCTTTCAGTTTCATCTTAGCATCAGTCCAAGTCGATTTTAAAATGTCTTCAATGAAGACCCTTCGACATTGAAGTTTTACAAACCCTACTCAAAAACTCTACTTTGTTCCTTGCGGAAATTCAACATATTTATAGAAAAATATAAAATAGAGTATTCATACACAATTAATTCAAGATAATGCACCAATACCATCAAAGAATAACCAAGTAACAATTCTTTTGTTAAACTGAATGGTACATTAAATGAACAATATAAATATAATGATGAATAAGAACGAGCTAGCCTAGTTGCTAAAAAATTCAATATTCAAATAACTCTCAAACGAAAAGATATGTGACCCACAACCAAAGTCATGCCGTAGATGTTTTATATATAGAGTATATATAGGGAGTAAAATATGTGACCGCTAAAGTATAATAATGACAGAAATAATATACACTATAAGTATAATTTAATTAGTGGAACAAAATTTTATTAAATTATAATTACTATAATATAATTATATTTTTATTAAAATATTCCCAACACTTTTGGGACTCAAATTCTCACCATCCATTCTAGAATGGAAAAGCGATACCATTGGGTCACAAGACTCTTAAGAAAGGAGGAGTTGATTTTGTAATTTTGGTTTGTGCTTTGGCAACACAAAAGGAGTTGACAAATGTTATCTTAATTAATTTTAGGTTGTAGCCAACTGTACTTCAAACCATCATAATTTTGAGGCATATGATGGGTCCTATAATCTCCTCCACGAGAGGGGATCCGGATTCTAGAATGTGGCTCCCTGTTAAGCAAAAGATCACTACTATATATACTGAAAAAAATTTGGAGATAAATGTGGGTTGAAGCATGTGTTAATGTTTCAAATTCTAGTTTCCAAATTAGCCTGGAATCAACCTAAAAGGTTGGCTTAGTAGGAGAAGACTTGGCCACTAGAACCTCATGAAGCTTCAGATTTTAGGATTGATTTCCTACTACATTCGAGCCCGTGTACGTAGTCTGAGCTTTACCAATTATGTATGGGGGCGCCTTGCAGGGTACAACTTGATTGCATGCCTCCAATACTTGGGTGGGGGGAATAATATTCTTTCCTTTTCGTAGAAATATTGGTCAAAATAATCGATCAAATTTCCTTCTCCCTCTTTAATTTCAAAAGCAATTATTGTACACATCTTGTAAGATTTCAGAAGTAACTATTGTGTAATCTCCATCTTGATATTTATGATTTACTGTTTGAACACCATAGTTTAGGGTTTAATGTTTCAACAATGTTGTTTAGGCTTTAATATTTTAAAATGGGTTAAGTGCGTGAAAAAAAAACCTTGCTACATAAAAAAAGTGCATATAACTCCCTGTATTATTCATCTTTTGAGCAAATTGTCCTATATTGAAAAAATCTGATGAAAAATAGCCATTAGTGATGTCATTTTTTTTTTTTTTTTTTTTTTTTTTTTTTTTTTTTCTGGAAATCCAAAAGTACCATTTTTTGTGTCACAAGAATCCCTCTACCAATTTTGTATATATTTGAATAGGGAATGTGTTTATTTGGATGTACTTGAAGATCTATCCAAATAAATATTCTCTCTAATATTATTTTTTTCTTTCTAAAATATTTCTATGTTGAGGTTTAGCAATTTGTTTCTAATAACATCAGTTTTATTTTTTTATATTTTTTATGATACTATGTTTTATTTGGTATGTCTGGCATTTGTACATCATTTTTAATTTTTTTAGAATATTAATTATTTCAATATATATATATATATATATATAAACATGATCTTTGTTGCAAATATTATTTTCTAATTCTATAACTTCTATATATTTTCCTTCAATTTCATAGAACTCTCATTCTATAAGAAAATATAATCTCACTCTAATTTTTTTTTTCTCTCTCTAAAATTTATGTGTTATTGATAGTAAGTATCTCTTTCTAAAACAGAACACCTCGAGTCAGCAAGCCTCAAAAAATTTCATAGTATCAGCAGAGAGCTAGAGAGCACAACAATCAACAATCAAATTCCAATCTCTTTAAGAAGATCGAGAGAAAAATTAAGAACCAGTTAAAAATTTTCGGTATAAATAGATAAAAATCATAAAAATAAAGGGATATATAACAAATAAAGGGAAATTAGATAGTGTAGACACTAAAATTTTA